AATAAATATATGCCCCAAAGTTCTTAAAAGCAGATTTGGCGTTTCGAACCTTGCTTCGCCACTGGTATACTAATTAAACATAAAGAAAAGTTCTGAATGTTTTTATTTTATTTTATTATTATTTTATTTTTTTCAAATGTAGAAATACTCAGAAAAAAATCTTCTCTTCCACGCTTTTTTATTCTCACCTATGTTGTACAGAATTTCGCTAGCGGATCGGTTTATATCGATTCACACGAATGATTGTTACATTCTTTATTAGTACCTTTCCACATAGCTTAAATGAAGATGTTCTAAACATTCTATTGTATACTCCCAACTTTTTAATTAGCACCAGACAATAATGACAGCCTCTTCGCTTCTCCTGGTGGAGAGCGCGTTTCAATATCTTGGTTTAATAACACATAGCTCCTCCCCGTTAAAGAGATGCCACGAAGAAATCCTAGTAACTTCCCATCGTCGCCATCGGTAATCTAGAAGCGAAACATGTCTGTACCTAAAAAGTAGTTGACATTGTAGCAATATGAGGACGTGGGCGCTTGAGTCGGCAGCACAAGGAAATACTAGGTGCGAACGCGCTCAAAAGCCCAAATACGTTCGAGAAATCAGTGCGATGTTCGCGTCGAGAATTGAATCACACGCGTGACGGGAATCCGTCCTCTCAGACGACTGCCACCCGGAAGAGAAAAACGTTCCGCGCGGCGCTAGCATTGTAACGCCATCCACACCTCCGCATCGCATCTGGAACCTTGTCGGGCCCGTACATAGCCACGGGCAGCTTGTCTTTTGTGCGCCGTGTGCGCCGCGGGAGATGGCGAGATTCATCGTGCGGGCGGCAGGAGAGTCCGCGGGCCGCATTGCAAAGCCCCGCAGCCGCGGCTCTCGTGGTCGCGGTCACGTCTTGCGAAAACGAGAAAATAAGCGGCGGGGCTATGGCGGGGCTGTATGCTCGCCGGTCTTTCGGAGCGGACGCGATGGTTTAAACTTAAATTTATTCAGTCAAAACTGTATGTGACGTAGGGGGGGGGGGAAGATTATCTGCGCACGTTTTCTTGAGTTCCAGAATCCCTTCCCGTCATTTTAACTATAAATAGTTGAAAGATGAGTGAAATTTTAACACGTATAAATAAAAATAAATTTTAAAAATAGCAAGATGAGCAATATTTGAATAATGGTCATTTTCGTTTCTGAGTAATAGAAAACTTATTTGCATCGGTACACGAATTGCAACCAATAATTTTTTTTGCATTGCTGACAAAATAGCAACTCGCCCTTACCTCTACTCTTACCATTACAGCAAAAGGAGAGTTCAACAAAACGTGCGCATAGTGAAGCTACATTTACCTCCAGAAGAAAAAACAGTGGGCCATCTCAGTATGTGCCCAATGAATCAGGGAAACTGGACAAAAACCTGATCGAGATGAACCGGACCGGAAGCTGAAGCACATTATTTGTTACAAATATATTAAGTCTTTTTAAAACATATACAATACAAATGTAAAATAATTCATTATATATCACTTCTTTGTTACAATTATTTTTCTTTTTGATAATCAGTATAGTCTCTAATTGTATAGAAACAGTTATGCAGCAGAAAAAAATTTTAAACTTAAATTTGTGAACCGACTGAAAGGTGTAACGGTTAGCGTATCGGTCTGTTATACCAAAGTCGGCGGGTTCAAACCAGATCGATTTTTAAGGGTGAAAAAAAACCTTCGTTCGCCTTAGAGGGGAAGCAAAGCAGGCTGTCCCGTATTAGTAGATGCTTGTAAAAGATCACGCGTAAATGAAGCCTCTGAGCTAAATTCAAATCGCCTGTTTCGTCGCCCAAGAAATTCCTCTTTCTTCGCTAGTGGGTGAAAGGAGCGTAGCGAAATTTGCGTGGTCAGACGGGAGAGCGAGCCTGATGGCCTGAGTCTCGCCACGTAAAATAAGGCGTGAATTTCTCGTGCGCGGGGAAGTTGGGTTCTCCCGCGCTGGGAATGGAATGGAATGGAATGGAATGGCAGGGCTGAGCCGCTCGCCGTTCGTTCATGAAGGGCGCGTCTTGACGTTTCTGTGACTCCATTCTTGTCGCGATCCGCCCTCAAACGTGATGGTTTTGCGGAAGAGATCAGCTCCTCGGGACGGAATACGGGAGGAGTGAACTGTGAACTTCAGCGTTCAGTTCGAATTCGTGATGGGAGTTTGAACTCAGAAGCATGTTTATGTATGGAATTACGTGATGTATAGAATTCGATAGCACTAGCAGTGGTGCACTTATCTAAATAGTTGAATATTTTGCGAATTCATTTTTTTTAAATCTAAATGTATACGCCATATAAACGTTAAATGCTAGTAAAAGGAGGAGAGCTATTATTCCTGATTCCGAAAAATTATTTAAGTAGTTTATTGGACGTTGAGAAATCTGCCAATTTTTAAAGTCTAGGACTAATGTTTCCTAAGCAATTCTGGTTTTATTAAATTGAATTGCAAAATGTTCATTGGGAACCGCTTTTACCATTAGCCTCTATCAAGCTTCTTCGGTTCCTGTCTTTGTAAATATTGATTCTCCTTCTGCGCTATTACACATGATGAAAGTTGTGGAAGAAAATTAGTGTTTTGTTTTCTGGGTAGTGTAAAGTTGTTTAAATAGGATTGCGTTCTTCGGAGAACCTTTTTAATTCAATACAAGTGTAATGGTGTAATTTAAGTCCGGAGAACGTGGCTTAAGAGGATGTGCTTATCGGACTCTAATCCCTAACCAGTATCTCCGGGGTTCTCCTTGCGGTTTGTTGCACTGCCACATCGTGTGCAGTTTAGGCGCGCGTTAGCTGCTCCACGACCCTAGCCCAAAGTGTTGGGGGAGGGGAAGGAAGCGCTCCCGGAGTCAGGTTTCAGGGGTTACGAACTCGCGTCCCTCGGTCCCCGCCGCCGCAACCCGATCCCCGTTGGCCGGCGCCCGCCGCAATTCATTTGTCCCCGGGCGAAACGGGCCTCCCCTCTAGGGGCGCTAACCTCGCGCCATTAGTCTCCATTCCCGCTCCATTCCCGCTCCATTCCCGCTCCATTCCCGCTCCATTCCCGCTCCATTCCCGCTCCATTCCCACTCCATTCCCACTCCATTCCCACTCCATTCCCACTCCATTCCCACTCCATTCCCACTCCATTCCCACACCATTCCCACTCCATTCCCACTCCATTCCCACACCATTCCCACACCATTCGCCGACCTCCGCGGCGCTTTTCTACGGCGCGGGAGGGGGCTACCGTCCGTCGATCGAGAGGTTTTTGAGTGGGAATCTGAAAGCGTTGGGACGCCCGTTAATTTTGTTGATGGTTTGAGAATGATAAAATGCATATTATTGTGCCGTGGGGAGGTATGTTGTATTAGTTCCTTCAAAATTAAGGCATTCGGGCCGTTTAATGTTATATATGTCGACATTACCACGAGAATGCTCTATGGTGTTCATGTTATTCGTTTTTTCGTACTTTGCTATTGCATCTTGGTATATTTATATTGGGTAACTTAATAATTTCATTATTAATAGGTGTTAGTGTTTGTTGTCCAATTATATTGCAGGATACAACAGGATAAAGAAACATTGGAAATCGCATTTCACGTCCGTGTAAACAATTGTGAAGTCAATTAGTTCAACTGATTGCCTTAAGTTTGAGATGATGCGTTCCTGATGTAATTTTAGATTGGCGTGTGCCCTTGATGTTCGAAATACTGCGTTACGTCTGATGTTCGAGACAAATGAAAAAAAAAAAAAACTTTATGGATTTATAGCGGTTATATACTTCTCAAGGGGATATGTTACGAGTTTATGGCAGAATTGCCCCATAATTCGTACGATAATTTCTCATAGATAATTTTGACAAATGTATGCAACGTACGTCAGAGGCAGCTGGACGATTTTGTAGAATGCAACCATTTTTAACATGAACAAGTCTTCTAGTGGATATATTTTCTTGTTAGAATGTCTGAGTATTTTGTGCATAACTGGTGGAGTCTAAAAGAGGTGTTTATGAACTTTACACAAACAACGTGTCAGTATGTCAAACTTCTATCCCCCCCCCCCCCAAGAAGAGGGATTATTGTTGCTGACATTTTGTTTCATAACATGTCCTGAAATCGTTAGTATTTTGTAATTTTGAAAGAAATTTCTTAAGGTGTAATTTTAGAAAATGTTATCATGTGAAATTATAATTCATTGGTGGTGGTATACTAATTAAGTACTCGCTGAGTACTCTTAAAGCTGACAACTTTTATTCTTTAAAAAATATCGATTCAGCATAGGGATTACCCAATTGTAATTATAATTTCGTTATATTTGAATGATATCGAGTCCCCTTATGAAGAGCAATTACATTTAATCTGTTCCATATAGTACTTGCATTCTATGCCACCACTTTTACTAAATGGTAATAATTATAGTCACAGAAATGTTTCCTTTAATTGCTAGTATGAAATACTTATGATAGTGTATGGCATGAGTGTAATACTAAGATGGAATTAGCGCTTGTATAAAAGCTGCATTTAATCTTCACTGTAAAAATAATGGAATTCATAGCCGTGCTCCCACTTCGATTATTGATGGAAGATATTACAGTTAGCTTAATATTTCATCCACACAAGTGTATAGAGTAAAATAGTTTAGAAAAAAATCGTTTAATCTGCACAGTCTAGTAGTTTCACTTCTTTCCATGCTACTTCTTCAGTCAATTCTTGTCATGTAAGGTCGCATCGTCATCTAGGTCATTAGCGACCACTATTGCATATAACGCTATGGTAACTGTGAAGATGACATATGGTGACGATAGGTGGTAAAAGGACGAACACAAACATAACCATGCCCGAGGCGGGACTCGAACCCGCGATCCTTCGGTCCGAGATCGCTACGGCACTACTGCCTTGACGATCTCGGCCATCCGGACCGGCTTTTAACGTATTAGAATGTAGTGATAGGCTTGTATATCTGTGCCGCGCTGACGGTCGCTTTCCTCCTCTGTTGCAGCCCCCGCGCCGCCGCAGTCGCCGCCGCGCCCCGCCCGCCCGTACTACTCGTCGCAGCTGCGCCCTCCGCCTCTCCCGCTGCCGTACCTCGCCGCGCCCCTGCGCTCCACCATGAACGGCGTCAACGGACTCAACGGCCACGGCGACCTCAACGGCGGCAGCGCCGAGCTCATCTCGCAGGCGCTGCCCAAGGGCTGCTGGACCATCGGCCTCATCAACTCCAAGTACCGCTACCTCACCGCCGAGACCTTCGGCTTCAAGATCAACGCCAACGGCGCCTCCCTCAAGAAGAAGCAGGTGCGTACCGCTCACACTCGACTCCACCACGCACACGGCCAAACAGGGACGTTTTCTTAGAGCCAATTCCTTCAACTGCTGGGCGAAAGCTTCTTCATTCCTGTTAGCGGCTTTTATTAATAGTTAAAATTACGGCAAGGGGTTCTGGAACTCACGAAAACGTGCGCAGATAATCTTCTCCCTCATACGTCACATAGTTTTTACTGTATTTTTTTTTAAGTAAAATCTAAATCTAAAGCTTTTCATCCCTGCTAGTGGGCATTTTTTTCAGAACCAATTCCTTAAAACCCTGGGAGAAAGCTTCATCCCTGTTAGTGGGTATTTTCTAAAAACCAATTCCTTCAACCGCTGGATGAAAGCTGCTTCATCCCTTTTAGGATTATGAACGAATTGATTGTCGTATCATTAAAGCCAAAATTAATTTTCGGATTCGTCCCAACGTGCCTCAATTTCTTCCTATAGATTCACGGTCTTGTGGAGGGAGGCTTGTTTAAACTAATGATCTGATAGAATAATTTTTGTTTATTATTTCAGAACTTTAATACTGCGTATATTTAGGTCAAGTGTAATCCTTTTCAACACGTCGTGGGCAGTGGTCAACCTTCCCTTAGTATTTCGATGTTCTAGTAGCTCCTAATCTCTTTGATTTTCTGACAAGTCTCTTTCGCTCATTGTGTATTAAAAAAATATTTTTTGTTTCGTAGTTCGCAGCTTTTAATCTGTTGAGAAATAAAATCCATGGCATTAGTCCTTTTTATAGAGTAGTGTAATAGTCGAATGAACTTAATAAAATGTTTTTCTAAAGCTAGTTTGGTCCGAAGAAAGACTTACGTAATTAAAATAGAAAAGCTGCTTGAAAATAAAATGTCAACGGTTTAACGTCTTTTCCGACTGGTCTTCGTTTTTCCAACCATTATACGGTTTCTCGGAGCAGTTGCTGCTTTCTGCGAAAATTTTGCTTGCAGTGACTGCGCCAAGGATTGAGAATTGCTTTGTGCGACGATAGAGGGATGAGAAAGAAATTGTTGGCCGGATGAAAATGAGGGTCCTAAATAAAATGAGGGGAATTCGAGGAACGAGTTCGGGGAGGAGGGGGGCATTCGAGGGACAATGGTGGAAAAGGAGGGGGAAAAGAATGAATGGTCTTTTGTGTCCCTTCACATTTTATAACTTCACAAATCTTTCACAATTAATACTTCTACTTAAAAGATCCCTACTTTTCCAAAAAATGGACATCTTTTTCATTGGATTTAAAAGCTTGTTATATTTTCTTAAAAGACATACAAAAGACGTTCATCGTGTGACTAGGATTATTTATTTTAACGTAGAGGCAGAACTTAATTTTTCTTTTTGAAACGCAAGAGTTAAAAACTCCTCTTTGTGCAAATATGTAATGCATGGCACGTTTTGAGAGCTGAGAGGCCTATAAGAGTGTCTTTGCATCAGGCGTAGAAGTCCTTGCATGGGTGAAAAGTTTCAAAACAATTGAGACATTTCATGTGGGCATGTTTTGATTCTTAAAAGGTCCATAACACAGCAATGTTTCATAATTTGACTTACCATACGGTTACCAAACTTTTGGTCAGTTTGAATGGGCGATTGTAGTAAAATTTCAAATGCCCAAAATTCCGTTATTCAACTACTGAGGTCATATAGCAACCACTGTAAGTAACATTAAGGGAAACTATAACGGTCACACACAAACATGCATGCCCCGGGCGGGACTCGATCCCGCGGCCCTTCAGGCACGAGGCAGCGAGGGCTTTTCAGAATTAGCGACCTGGGCTCTCCAGGCCGACGAAGGTCTTGTTTGACCTTTCGCGAATCGTGTTAAAACGCCGCCCAGTGTGTCAATCCCCGCGTGGTGTTGTGCCCTCAGGTGTGGACCCTCGAGCCCAGCTCCGCGTCCGGCTCCGACTCGTGCATCTTCCTGCGCTCGCACCTGGGCAAGTACCTGGCCGTGGACTCGTTCGGCAACGTGACGTGCGAGAGCGAGGAGAAGGACCCGGGCTCCAAGTTCCAGATCTCCGTGGCGGACGACAACACGGGCCGCTGGGCCTTCCGCAACGTCACCCGCGGCTACTACCTCGGCGCCTCCGCCGACAAGCTCTGCTGCACCGCCAAGGTGCCCGGCGACGCCGAGTTCTGGCACGTGCACCTCGCCGCGCGCCCG